CCCCGACAGACGTGAAATGAACGATGTAGTTGCACGTACTCACATAAATCTTGAGAGTCATCCATGCAACGCAGCATTACGGACCGGGAGTTGTAAACAAAGATGTAATCGCGTTAAAGCTGAGATAAATGTTTGTAAATAGTCTAAAACCAATATGTATCGATACCGGCGATTTGCAACCACCGCTCTATTGAACGGGATCGTGACTGGTGGTTCTGTCATAACACGAAGCACTTACGCAGGAGCTTGGAGCCCAAGTGACAAATTCAACAAGTATTTTAAACCTAATTCACTTAAGATATGTAGTTCTGGAGGATCACTATGGCAGTGCTTGAATGGTTCTGGTGCTGGAAGATTTGTCATGGCCATCCGTCCGCAAAAGCCTAACACTTGCGAGTAGCTCAACCAATCATCTCAACGAACCATTTACTATTCGTTATTACGGAATAATGCAAAAGGATAGGACATAGCCATGAGATAAGCAGATCAGAAACCGGATGACCGCCGACGTGTTTCGTGCTGTATCAACGGATCGGATCTCCGCCCGTAACATGTCGGGCCGCCTCCACCGAGTCAGCCAGCCCCGCGCCGGGCTAAACCACCGAAGAACTTATAACAAAAAGGAACAGAATCGCTCCAACCTGCCGACATACTAGCTCAAGCTTACCATATTTATCTGACAACACTATCTCCACATTCGTATATCACAATGTCCGCTCAACAGCACTCTGCCTTTGGCGCAGCGGAATACATCCCGCCCGACCCCATCTTTGAAGTCACCAAGCGCTTCAACGCAGACCAGAACCCTCAGAAGGTGAACCTTGGGCAAGGCACATATCGCGATGAGAACGCTAAGCCTTGGGTTCTTCCATCTGTGAGGGAGGCTGAGAAGCTGATTGGTAATGCTGGTCATGAATACTTGCCGATTGAGGGTTTGCAGAGCTTCAGAGATGAGGCTACCAAGTTGTTGTTCCACGATACTTCCGCGCTCAAAGAGAACAGAGTGGGTTAAATTGCGCCTTCGTGTCCGTCTGGTCGCTGATACGTTTCAGATTGCGAGTTGTCAATCCATTTCCGGAACTGGATCTCTCCTCCTAGCCGGTCTTGTTCTTCGCAAGGCCAACTCAGGTATTGAGAACGTCATCATCACAGACCCAACCTGGTCAAACCATGATCTTCTATTTAAAGAGATCGGGTTCAACGTAGTAAAAGCACCCTACTACAAAGATCGAAGCTTTGACTTTGAAGGTTATATCGGCGCCCTGAAGAAAGCCGATAAGCGTTCTGCTGTTGTTCTCCACGCATGCGCTCATAACCCAACTGGCTGCGATCCAACTCATGATCAATGGAAACAAATTGCAGCTGTGATTAAAGAGAAGGGAATCTTTCCAATCATCGATTCGGCCTATCTTGGCTTCAACTCGGGTAACTACGATGAAGATGCATGGGCGATTAAGTACATCATCGAAGATCTCGGCCTCGAAGCTGCGATATGCATGTCCTTCGCCAAGAACATGGGTCTCTACGGAGAGAGAGTAGGACTTACAGCAATCGTGACAAAGGCTGAGGATGCCAAAAGAACGGTGTTCTCACTGCTCCAGAATGCTCAACGACAGACTGTCTCAAATCCTCCAGTCTATGGAGCTAGAATCGCAGCTACTGTTCTTGGAAACTCTGAGCTCTTGAAGCAGTGGCACAAAGATCTTGTTACCATGTCCTCGAGAATCAGGTCGATGAGGAAGAAGCTATATGACGAGCTTGTGCGGCTGGGGACCCCGGGAGACTGGTCGCATATTGTTAACCAAACTGGCATGTTCGGTTACACTGGTATTAGCAAACCTCAGATTGAACGTTTGGAAGGTAAGTAATCTCTCTATCTTTTGAGATGCGTACTGACGTGGTTTCAGAGCAATATCACATCTACATGGCGAACACATCTAGGATAAGTCTTGCAGGCCTGAATGATCACAACGTTGAGTACGTGGCAAAATCATTAGATGAGGTGGTCCGGAATGTACAGTGAAGTCGGTGGATACCAAGCCGCAATTGGCAGGCGTTACTCGAGTGAAAGGACTCCATACTAGTAAAATCCTTGATACATCTTACTCAGACTTGCTTGTATCCCGCACAACCTTCCCGGACAGTGCACATAAGTTTGACTTCAGTGATGTTCAGAGAACTACGGGGCAGTCCATAATAATGCAAAAACTTTCCTTCAGCTGTGCCGGTTCCAACTTGACCGGCTCGAACGCAGGGTTCTTCATCGGTGCTCCCGGTCCGTCATCGACGATCAACGAGCAGATAACAGATTTGGAGACTCCGCATCGGGCCTCTCACACATCCCCTCAGATACTTCGAGAACATGCAGATCGCATAAGACTCCAGGACAGCAACACGACCCCTGAACTCAACGCACGTTCCAAGGTCACTGGCGCAGAACTAGATCCGTCCATAACCGCTCCCCACCGACCCCAATGTCTCCTTCACCAAACAAACACTCGTATCCAATTCCATCCCACGCCGGTCAGACCTCCGATATAAACTAGAATATGCAAGACGGCTTCTAGCGTAATACAAACCCGAGACCCAAGGTCCCAACCCCTGCCCTTCGCCAGGACAAGCCGATGCATGGCGTATCACGCCCTGACCCCCCAACTACCGCATCCGGACTAACTTCTCCAGATGTGATAAGATCCCAAGACCAACGGTGCCATTCCCGTAGCTAGCAAGAGTGCATATCTCTGTGATACGTGACCAAAGTGGGGTTAGCGAAAACCATCGGGAAACTCTCCCGCTTCCAAGTCTAGACCTCCAACGCACCTCGCTAAAGATAATGAAATTAAAAAAAGACACCGATGACGGTCTGATAAGATGTCCATGTGACGAATTACCCCGCTTCCCCGCGGTGTTTGTTCAAAGGGAACGCGTATCGGTTGGGGTGCCGATAGGGTGTGACCAAAATGTTGTTAGAGCCGCGTGAGATGGGGGTTCCAAGTCAAATAGATGATAAGGTTATGGTGCTTCACTTCAAAAAAGCACATCTTATCACTGCCACTGCCATTTCTCTTCCCTCTACACCAACACAGTAAGAATTGTGAAGAGATTTTCAGTGCCTGACATGACAACACTCTCAACTACTACTCGCTCACGCGCCGCTCAAGGCCTCACCCTCACACTCCGCCCTACTTCGCGAGTGCGGCGAGATAGCCTCATCGCGCTCGTTCGCTACTCCTCCACCAACGCCGCAGCAGCGCTTGAGGCGACACGCACAAACACACCAGTCGTCAAAGGCGCAGAGACACCACTCTCAGAACTCCCTTCCTTAGTTCTCTACCGCTCTCTCTTGGTCAATTCCATATCCTCAAGACCATGGCTTCTCATCCCATCGCTACATCTTCTTCAAAAACTCTCCAACCCTACGAACCCATATCTCTTCAATGTTGATCGCAACCCACTGCTGCGGGGCTTGCTGAAGCATACGTTTTACAAACAATTCTGCGCTGGCGAGACAGGCGCTGAGACGCAATGTACCATGAAGTCGTTGCAGGATATGGGATTCAAAGGAACGATTCTTACGTTTGCAAAAGAGACTGTTTTTGATGCCAAGACTGGTAAAGGCCAGGGCTTTGGTATTGAGGCTTCGAGCTCGAATGAGTGTCAGTGGTGTGACAATATTGAGGCTTGGAGGGAGGGAACTGTCAAGACTGTTGATCTGCTTCGTGAGGGTGATCAATTGGCCGTTAAGTAAGTCGCCTCACCTCAATCCTTCACAGTATCGCATACTAACAGTATTTCAGGATGACCGGCGCTGGACCTGGAGTCTGCGACGCCTTCGCCAATGGCACCGAACTCCCCAAGCAATTCGTCGACGCCTGCCACGAGATCTCCCAGAAGTGCAAAGACCGCGGCGCATACATCCTCATCGATGCCGAATCACAACACTACCAATGGGGCATTTTCCGTCTTGGCATGGAACTGCAACAAAAGTTCAACACGGACGGCAAAGTCGTTCTCTACAACACATACCAGGCTTATCTCAAGAGCACCTACGACACTCTGGCCAAGCATCTCCAAGCTGCTCTGGACAAGAACTTCACACTGGGCATCAAGGTCGTACGCGGCGCCTACATGGCCTCTGATCCCCGCTCCCTAATCCACGACACAAAGCAAGACACCGATGACGCCTACAACCAAATCGCCCAGGGCGTTCTACGTCAAGAATTCCGCTCCTTCGGCACCACCAAGCCCTTCCCCTCCGCCCAGCTCCTCCTAGCAAGCCACAACAAAGAGTCGCTGGTCAAAGCTCACGAAACCCACCAGGAGCGCACAAAGGCGGGTCTTCCGACTGTGCCGGTCAAGTTTGCGCAGCTGCATGGTATGTCGGACGAGGTTAGCTTCGGGCTGCTGAAGCTAAAGGATGATGCGGGGGTGGCTCCCGAGGTTTATAAGTGTACTACGTGGGGTACGCTTCCAGAGTGCATGGCTTATCTCACGAGAAGGGCTATCGAGAATAGGGATGCTGCTGCTAGAACGCTGGATGAGTATTCGGCGTTGAAGAGTGAGCTTTGGAGACGGTTGGCTTTTTGGCGATGAGAAAAGTGTTTATAACTGCAAATAATTATTAGTTAAGAATGGAATTAATTCTAGAATTTTATCTGTGCCATCGTGTATTCGTTCAGTCTCAATGTTCACTTGCAAAGGATGCTCTATCATTCACCGCTCTGATAGCGCTAGAATGTCTCAGCTGGGAGATAACATGGATGTCAGTGCACCTCACACACTCTTCTTATCCATGCAGATCTCTTGTCAATGACACATTCCCAACCCTTGCAAATGCTGTCGGTACTCACAAAGTGGGGTCTCACATCCAGAAACTCAATTCCTCCATCTTTCACAAGGTATCACGAGCACTGAAACGTGTTCCATCGCACATCCTGTGGCGCCGGTGAGGGTCCCGTAGCCCTGCAACCCGCTGGGCTATCTATAAATGCGGAGCTTAGCTCTACCCCACGGTTCAGTATCTTTCATCGGCAGCGCTTCCGTTGATACTACCCCTCATCAAAACAAAGAGATAACATACCTGCACCTGCACGACTTGTCAACGTCTTTCCAGTCGTGGTTTGGTCTATTTCTCCGTGTGAGGTCACAAGATCGGCTGGCTGCTCACATTTCTTATGTGTATGTATCTCTTTGGTGTGCTGCAATTTGTCTGATCGTTTGGCGAATAAGACATTATATTTTGCTGCATTAAATCGTGTCCCCTGTCACGCCAGATATTACCACCATGGCTGGTCTTAGCAATGCCACACTCACCATTCTGGGAACAGGTAAGACGAGCGCCCAATGAGTTTGCAGTGCTTTGACTGACGACTGCAGGAAACATCACAAAGCCCATTGTGAAGAATCTGCTTCCTGCCATCAAGGACGGCAAGACAGATCTGCCTTTCACAAAGATCATCGCTTGCGTGCGATCAGAAGGTTCAGAGTCAAAGCTGAATGGCCAGTTTTCAGAGTACAGTAGCATTTTGACTGTTTCTCGTGGCGACAATGTCAAAGCTGTACAAAATGGCGACGTGATCGTCTTAGGTGTTGATCCAGCTGATATCGCCGATGTTCTCGCCCAAGACGGCATTCGAGATGCTCTTTCAGGCAAGCTTCTCATCAGTGTAGCTGCTGGCTGGACGAAGGAAAAGCTCGAATCTACCCTCTACGGAAGCGAGACTACCAAGGAGAATGCCTCTGGAAGGGCTTGGGTTATTCGTACTCTGCCCAATATTGCATGTATGGTCTCAGAGGGACTCATCGCCATTGAGAAATCACCTACCGAGCCTCAAGTCCCAACAGAGCTTATGGATCTCACCAAGAACCTCTTCAACACCATCGGCAGAACCACCGAAGTCGCTCCTCGTCTTATGAACGCCACGACAGCCGTTGGAGGATCTACGCCAGCAATGTGGGCTATTATCTGCGACGCCTTCATCGACGCGTCCGTGGCCGTTGGTGTACCCAGGGCTACTGCACAGACTATGATCTACCAATCTATGAAGGGTTCCGCTGCAATGCTGCAGAGTGGACTGCAGCCCGGGGATTTGAGAGACCAGGGGACTTCACCTGAGGGCTGCACTATTGGAGGAATCATGGTTCTAGAAGAAGCGGGAGTAAGGGGCCATCTTGGACGTGCACTACGGGAGGCCGTTACTCTGGCAAGGTTGATGGAGACTACTACCCATGTTAATGATACACGCCCTACTTCATAGACTTAGCCAGGAACAGAATATGATAGAGGGTATTTTGTACCCGATTACCGGACACCAACTCCTTTTTGCCCTGCTAGACTGTCTCCAAAATGTAAATTATCTCCGATCTACTATACTAGCCTTCCCGTATGTATGAACCTTGCTTTCCCTTCTACATGCTGTACCGATAGTCCTTCTAGAGCATTCCCTATAACAGCTTATGAAACCTTGACCTTGCCTCCATGTTTGCCACACACCCTACTCCAAAAGCCGGGATGATTCTCAGAGACCGCAGTATTGTGGCTGAGAACAGGTCCCTTCGGATCTGTGCCGAACGCTCAACCCATGGTATTCCCCGCGGTCGGGCATACAAGTCCAGCCCAAGGAGATGGACTGGGGTAGCAAAGAATTGTGAGAAAATGGGCACTGTCAACTGCGATATGATCGCCTTGGAATGCGGGCTTGATGACAAGCTATCAGGGATGAGAGATGATAGCCAAGGCGCCATGGTGAACGACCCAAAGATCGTGATGGCATCTCTCATAAGAAACGTAGCTGTAGCGGCTCTAGGAACGCCAGGCTTAACAACAGGCGCGACTTTATCAGTCGGCGTTGTCGAAGCACTAAACATCTGAGCAAAGCGCACATCTTTCAGCACGCCCAGAGGAACATTTACTATCATCGTATTGACAAAGGTAATCGTCCCAACAGCCGCTTTGTGGAACTCATGAGCGAGCGTATCTGATGCATTTGACACAGCATACGTCGCTCCGTATAGAGTCCAGACGTAGCCAAATGCACGGCTAAAGATGAAGCGGCCTGGATGTTTGATAGCGTTCAAGCTGTGGACTTTCATGCCCTGTGCGAGAGGTCTGTTGAAAGAGACCTTCTCTACCATGGATCTGAAGCTTGTTGGTTGAGTTTTGTGACGAGAGGTTATGAGACATACTGGTCAATCACTGTGATTATTGGTGTTATTAGAGTTGCGGAGATAGCTGCTGCTGCTATGTCCCCAACGATGGGCTTCCATAGATGGCTGCGACTGAATGTTGTTTCAGCGACATCTTGGTGTTTTTCCATGAGGTATGGTGTTAGGTTCGACGAGCGGATGTCTGTAACAAATGGTTTGTAGGTAATGTTTGATCAGATGAGGCTGTCAAAGCGTTGATGTCGCGATGTTTGATAAGATACAGCACGTTGCAAAAATGATAGCAGCCCAGTGTTCCAGAAAGAAGAGCGACTACACCGAATGCCGGGAGCAGTCCCTCAAGCCCAGCCATCCCTCCCAGTCTGTGCAACAACACAGCTACACCAACACCATCGCACGGCCATACCGACACCACGGGATCCTCAACCGACCCTTCTAAACTCGCCAAACTCCACCAAAACCCCCCCATCGGTGTCCCTCCCGTGCAGCGCCTTCAGCGTCTTGTGACACTGTCGGCCCCCCGCCCGGTCCCAGAAAGTGGCTTAACTTTTTAGCGCTGTGAGGGGTAACTGAATCAACCCTCCACTCCACTAAAAAAGTTTCGGTTGCAGCCCCGACTTCAGTGGGATAAGGTTGTGATGTCAACATAAAAACGCCCGTCAGAAGCGCTTCTGTTGATGTTTTTCACTATTCATCATATCATACTTGAGCTGTACAGTACGAGATCGCATTCCTCATACTACAAAAATGGCTTCTTCGGTTCGTGCTTTGACATCAAAGGGTCGTTTGACTCCTCTCTGTCGAGTTCGTGCTTCTACGCCTGCTATTTCACTGCAGAAGCGAGGCAATGCTACGATTGTGCCTTTCAGACTACCCGCTGCTCGCAATGAGCCCAACGTAAGTGACCTACTCTTCAAAACTGTTGGATCTCGGATATTGACTGTTTAGCCCACATACACAAAAAACTCGCCTGAGCGCGCAAAGGTAGAGGCAGCTCTCAAAAAGCTCCGCTCTCAACTCCCCCTAAAGAGCGAAATCATCTTCAACGGCGTATCCCAAAAGATCCACGCCAACGAAGACCAAGTCCTCCCTGCAGAACACGCCACAACATTCACAAACTACCCCCTCGCTTCGAAGGAGCAAGTCAGCGCTGCTATCGAGTCCGCCCTCAAGGCGAAGAAGGACTGGGAAAACACGCCGTTCGTCGACCGTGCTGCGATTTTCCAGCGCGCCGCGGAACTTGCTACTACAAAGTATCGATATGAGCTTATCGCTTCGACGATGTTGGGACAGGGAAAGAATGTTTGGCAGGGTGAGATTGATGCTGCGGCTGAGTTGGCTGATTTCTTCCGTCTGGCTGGCCATTACGCTGCTGAGATCATGAGCAAGCAGCCTGAGCGTGGAACAGATGGTATTTGGACACGCATCGACTACAGGCCTCTTGAGGGTTTCATCTACGCTGTTTCGCCGTTCAACTTCTCTGCCATCGGTGGAAACTTGATCGCTCCCGCTATCCTCGGCAACGTTGTCCTCTGGAAGCCTTCGCAGTACAACATTCACCCCAGCACCATCATCTACAAGATCCTCCAGGAGGCTGGTCTTCCTAAGGATGTTATTCAGTTTGTCCCTGGCGACGCTGCCGAGATCACCGAGACTGTCCTTGCGCATCGTGAATTCGCTGGTCTTAACTTTGTCGGTTCTTCAGAGGTTTTCCGCTCAATCTATGGAAAGATTGGTCAGGGTATTGCTGAGAAGCGATACCGCGATTTCCCTCGCGTTGTTGGCGAGACATCCGGAAAGAACTTCCATCTTGTTCATCCCTCCGCCGACATCAACAACGTCGTCAACCACACTATCCGAGGTGCCTTTGAGTACCAAGGTCAAAAGTGCTCTGCTACTTCTCGCGCCTACATCCCCGAGTCCAAGGCCAAGGAGTTCTTCTCTCTTATCCAGCAGAAGATGAAGGACATTACCCAAGGTAGCCCCGACAAGGATTTCGAGGCTTTTATGGGCCCTGTCATCCACGGTCGATCTTTCGAGAAGATCAAGAACATCATTGATGAGAGCAACAAGGATCCTCAGGTCAAGCTCATCGCTGGTGGAAAGTATGATGGTTCGGTTGGATACTTTGTCAAGCCTACTGTTTACCAGGTTGACTCGCCTGATCATCGTCTATTCAACGAGGAGATTTTCGGTCCTGTTCTTGCTGTCTACGTCTACAAGGACTCTGACTTCACTCCCATGCTCAAGAACATTGATGAGAACGGTGGTGGCCTTGCCTTGACTGGCGCCGTCTTTGCTCAAGACCGTGCTGCGCTCCGTGAAGCTGAGGATGCTCTTCGCTACTCTGCCGGTAACTTCTACCTCAGTAAGTCCGCCCCTCCCCATAATTATTTTTCACGCAATTCTAACAAATTACAGACTGCAAGACAACTGCTGCTCTCATCGGCCAACAGTCATTCGGCGGTGCTCGAAGCTCTGGTACCAACGACCGAGCTGGTAGCCCTGACATGCTTCGACGATTTGTGTCTCCTCGTCTCGTCAAGGAGGAGTTCTTTGAGCTTGAGGAGTTCTTGTATCCTTCCAACACCCAATAGACTTAGCATAGCCTATCTAGATTTGTACCAAAAGCTAAGAACTGAATTTAATGAACTTTTAATGAACAATTCCTTTGGCCTCCAACATCGTGACCTGATACTTGACGACAAGTGATGACAAATGGGATGAGACTGATGGCTGGAGACTTTGCAAGACCTTGCTACAGTCTTACCAATGCTCGTGTATACATTCTCATGTAATTGGTTTGTATACGTATCTGTTTGCACGCGTCTTGACGGCTGTCCCGAGGCCCTACCAACCCTTTTACTATCCATCTGGCTGATATCCATTCAGCAAGGCCAATCTTTACAAAGGCCTTATTATTTGTCTCTCGTAGTGCCTAAATGAATCACGTTAGACCGTGAAGCTGGTCATGTGCGTGCGGACTCCTTTGATCTCCTCGACGATGCTCTGCCGATAACCAGACCAACACATACATATGTCAGAAACCGCAGAAACGCTAACAACTAAGCTTTTACAAGCCACAACGATCTTCATCGGAGGATAAACAGTCATTCAATTGGTTGCTCGATACATGCCGTCTTAGTCTCAGGCTACAGAACGGCATGGAGGCCTTGATTGGCACATGCATCCAGGCTGTATTCAGCTCAAGGTTTCTTTAATGGCTTGGCAGGTACAGAGCCTGTCTACCCTGCACATTTGTGCCGGAGAGACATTCTAGAAGCTTGCTGTGATGTTTCCCGATGTGTTCTGGAAGGGTTCTTCACAACAATTGGTCGCGGGTTTGGAAGCCGAGGGCTGAGAGCAGTTCGCAGTATTGATACAGAACCAAGATATTTCCACTATTACTGATAGTATATCTCCCGTTCTGTCGTTCTCTTATCCTCTCATCTCACTTCACTGTCAAGTCTGTAGAAAATTGAGGTGACTGCTGGTGTCAGCGTCTGCCATGTAGAACCCTGTCGGCTTATCCTAGCTTCACCTCAGTAAAACAGCAATGCATGCACCCATGCCGGTAAACGGCTTCCAACAGACCCCCGCGATAAACACTCTCCGATAACGGCTGAATTGAACTCCCGAACCTTCATATCAGCTAAGTCCAGATAATGCACGTCGTCACCAGACCCCAGAACGCCAAAACCGCAATCAAGGATCGTCTGGTTACACTTGCGGCTACGCTAACCGTCCAGCCAGACTCCACTTCAGCACGGATGGGGAGACGATAGCGCTAAAATAGCGTTGAGTTTTCTCAGTGCCAATCATTGTGGTTTCACCATCGGGAGGTCTCCCGGTGTCGCATTGGCAGCGTCACCAGTCTATTTTTGCATTTCTGGCTATTGTAGATGCTTCGGATGGTGAAAGACGTTAAACGTAGGTGCATCACGAGACGGTGATGGCCGGATATCGAACGAGGGCGGGTTTGGAGCCTCGGAAAGGTAGAATACTTATAGAATGACGCCTCAATTGCTTTGGTCTCATCAGCAATAGCTTCAACTCTCCTTCAAGTGTGCAACCATGAGCGTCTCCAAATCTGAACCAATCCTTATCGTGGGAGGCGGCGCCTTTGGTCTCTCAACAGTCGTGCACCTGCTTAGAGCTGGCTACAAGGACATTACCGTTCTCGACAAAGATGAAGAGATTCCTTCTCGATGGTCTGCTGCAAATGATCTGAACAAAATTGTGCGCGCAGAATACGAAGACCCTCTGTACCAAGACCTCACAGTGGTAAGTCCCCCAATTACCCCAACATTAAATTTACTGGACAAGGCCTGACCCATTGGCCAATTAGAAAGCAATTGAAGCCTGGCAGACTCCCCTGTTCGCTCCGCATTTTCACCAAGTGGGCTTTCTGCACTGTGTTTCTGGCAAAGCACCCAAAGAAGCGCTTGATACGCTCAATCGATTCCGCGCTGCAGCTGAGCGAGACCCTCGCATGAGATCTCATCTTTCGCCACTTGATAGCCAGAAGGATATATCAGATGCTGTTTGGCAGTACAAGGACAGCGCGTTTCCTGGTTGGAATGGATACTTCAATAAGTTCGATGGGTACGCGCATTCTGGTAACGCGTTGAGGTCCATTTTTCTGGCGACGCGGGCCCAAGGCGTGAAGTATATCCTTGGTGCAGCAGGCGCTGTATCTGAGATCGTCTACGAGAAGACTTCCTCTGGCCGAAAGGCGAAGGGTGTGATGACCACTGGCGGACTGTTCTACCCTTCTAATCTGGTCATCGTCTCCGTCGGCGCAGCTGGTGCCAAGCTCGTCCCCGAGATCGGCAAGCAACTCGTCGCAAAATCATGGTCCGTCGCTCATCTTCATCTCACCGACGACGAGACATCTGCTCTTCGTGGTATCCCAGTGACATACGCGCGCGATCTCGGTTTCTTCTTTGAGCCTGATCCCAAGACGAACCTTCTGAAGCTATGTCCCATGGGCGGTGGCTTCATCAACACTGATCCCAAGACTGGAATTTCGCATGCACCTACAGACTTGAAGCAGAGCGCATTTCTGCCTGATGGTGATGAAAACCAGCTTCGTGAGCTTGTTCGACAGACGCTTCCTCAATTCGCAGACAGGCCATTCGTGAAGAAGACG